GGTAGGGTAGGGAGAGCCAACTTGAGGGCTGACCCAGAACCAAACAGTGTCAGTTGAGAAGAGGCAGATCTTAGTTCACTCTAAGAAAAATTTTTCAAGAGAACCGCCTGAAAATGGAACAGTGTGAGCTTTCGTGGGATGTCACAAGCTCCCTCACAGTGGAGGTATGCAAGCAGAGAGACACTGCAGAAGGATTCCATTGGAATGGCGGAGTTTGGGGAGACAGAGGGAAGTGGGTGCACCATGGGCACAAATCGAAGGGCACTAAACTGGCACTAAGCAGTACTAAACCTTGGCTTCTTGTGCTGGCTCTATTGCTAGTTTGCCACATGACCTTCAATCAGTCCCCTGCCCTCTCTAGGTCTTTTAACTCCAAAAGTGGAAAGAAGGGACCTGAATTAGATAGTCTTTGAAGTCACTTGCGCATCCAAAATCCTTTCAAAGCTAAGGCTCAAAGATCTTAAGATTACCACAGTTTTGAGTTAAAAGCATATCCATGCAGGGTGATCAGTCTTGTTCCACTGATGGACATGTCTGGCTCAGACACCAGCTCCCTCCTTACAGGCCCCTAAACAGCTCAGTTCTTCTCGAGAAGTCAGGCACTGGACACCAGGACTCCTGAGATTCTCATTTCTCTCTCCGGCTCTTCCCCTCTCCCCCTGGGAAACTTCCCAAGGTTCTTTTTACTCTACAGCTCCTCAGGTACAATGCCTTTTTTTGCTCTTTGGGGAAGCCCCACTTGCTTGCTAATTTTCAAAAGAAATATGCTTTTAGTCTGAAAACTAGATTCAGGAATTCCTATTTTAATTTTTTAATTATAGTGGAAAGACCTCCCTGAACTAATGATTAGGCAAAAAGGGAAAATGATGGAATTTTCCAAACCTGTGGAATTTGAGATAAAACAAGTTGCTGGGCAGACAGGAAGAAAGAAAAGGAAATGGAAGGCTTCCATTATATAGCTTTGAAGTGGAGTGATGGTCACACAGTCTCATTAGTGTGGTTATAACCATTTGAATCAATTCTCGTGGCTATTCCAAAGTGCTCAATTATCATCCAGTCACGTAGCTGAGAGAGAAAAGAATGCCTATTACTGGCAGATATTTCAATCCAGTCCATTAGTAAAAGTTATTAATTTTTTAAGTAAATGTAGTCTCAAGAAAAAATATATAATAAAATCCTTTGCCTTTATTTTTTTCAAAAAAGATTATTTACTTAAAAAACACTTCTTTAGCACTTATTTAGCATGTATCAAGGGTTTTATGTGCATCATATCACTTAGTCCTTACAACAATTCTGTGGTAAAAATGTTATTAACCCCATTTTGCACATGAGAAAACAGAGGTTCAAAGAGGATAAGTTAACTTATCTAAGATTACCCAGCCAGTAAGTGGCAGAACTGATTCTAAGGTCCTACACCTAACTGACTCTTACTGAATTACATCCTCTCTATGCTTCCGTTTTCTGCTCCAGGAAATGGAGTAATTCCTGCCTTAGCTAACGCACAAGCACAATCAGACCATTAGAGGACAGTAATTGTGAGAATCAAAAGGAAAAATTGTTTTGAAACCTAAACAGTGCTATTACATTTTAGAGAATACTGGTTAATATTACTTACTTACTTTAAATATACATGCAAATTTGATTTGTTTCTCCAGATTCACCCTCCACACACTTCTCCATCCTGTGTTGAGCATTGGGAGGTGCGTCTGTACCACAGCTAGCCCACATCAACGGGCTCTGGAGCAGGCACTGTCAGTGCCCTGCCCAAATCCCCCGGGCCTCACCCAATTCAGTTCTCCACAGACTTCCAACTGCCGGCATCTGCTTCTTTGCGTCTGAGGGCTTTTCCCAGAACCACACAAGGCCAGTCTGCCAGCCTGGCAATCCAAAACTACCCAGGAATTAACACCCATCCCCAGAAGCAGCTCTCAACCACTTTAGAGGCATAAATACCCCAACTTCCTCATCTTTTGGAGAAATCATTTTGAGGCATGTGTTTACACTGTTTCCCAGAATTTCTCTGTGGGACTAAGCTCCAGTCACCCACTCTGATAGCTGGTTTAAAAACACAATCTCATTGGCCACCTTCTCTTCCTTGTATCACTTCCTCACTCCTCTACTAGTGTACCCCGAATCTCTCAAATAAATTTCACTTACACCCTTATCACCTAGTCTGCTCCTGAGGGAACCCAAACTGAGATAGTTTGATGTCTGGCTTTCTGTTGGGTTCAGCTAAGAGGGAAGCACCAGCAGGAGCTGAGGTGTTTTGCATTCTCCCCTCCACCCAGGGGATGCCAATGTCTGGCTCTGTCCTGGACCCAAAGCTCCCAACTCCTGTCAGAGGGCCCTCTTCACACAGCTCTCTCTGTCTCCAGGTTCAGTAAGTGCTCCCATCCCTTACCCCTTCAGGCCTCTGGCCATAAACAGCACCCCACCTTTACTAGTTCTGGGGTACTGCAGTATTCCTTGCGACTACCCTCCACCCCACTCACACTTTTGCAAATAGTCCCTTTATTAAACTTTTCTCAAATTCCATTTTAGCTCACCATCTGCTTCCTCTTGGTACCACGAATGATTCAGCAGGTGATGACTCCTGGGTTTGGCCTCAGAGAAGATAGTTGGTGTTGAGGATACATGGGGAGTGCACAAGGTAATGACAAGGATGCAGGAGGGGGCAGAGATGAAAAGAGAAGTGTACCGGGCAACAAAGGCTAATTGTTATGGTGCTGGGAAAGGAAGGTGGTTGTATTAGTTATCTATTGCTGTATAACAAATATCTCAAAATTTAGCAGCTTAAAACAAACATTAATTATCTCACCGTTTCTAAGGGTCAGGAGTCCAGGAGCTGCTTAGCTAGGGGGTTCTAGCTCAGAGTGTCTCATGAGATTGCAGTCAGGCTGCCAGCTGGGTCTGCAGTCATCTCAGTACTTGTCTGTAGCTGGAGAATCCACTTCCAAGCTCACATACTAGTTGTTGGCGGGCCTCAGTCTTCACCAACTGTTAGCCAAGCCTTCAGTTCCCCACCACATGGGCCTCTCCATAGGGCTGCTCACAAAATGGCAAATGGCTTCTCCCAAACAAGTGATCCAAGAATAAGTGTGTGTGTGCGTGTGCACACATGCCAGCAAGAGAGCACCGAACACAGAAACCACAGACTTTGATAACCTAATCTCAGAAGTGTCATACCACCACTTCTGTTGTATGCTATTGGTCACACAGGCCAACCCTGGTACAACACGGAAGGGGAGTACACAGGTTATGAATACCATTGAGGGGCAATTTGGAGGCTGGCTTCCACAGGTGCTCCAGACTAACAAAACATCCAAACCACAGGTGCTCAAGAGTAACAGAACGTCCCATCCACAGGTGCTCAAGAGTAACAGAGCATCCCATCCACAGGTGCTCAAGAGTAATGGAACATCCCATCCACAGGTGCTCAAGAGTAACGGAACATCCCATCCACAGGTGCTCAAGAGTTAAAAAAACATCCCAACCACAGGTGCTCAAGACTAACAGAGCATCCCATCCACAGGTACTCAAGAGTAACAAAACATCCCATCCACAGGTGCTCAAGAGTAACAGAACATCCGAACCACAGGTACTCAACAGTAATAGAACATCCCATCCACAGTGTACTCAAGAGTAACAGAACGTTTCTGTGAGGGCAGATTCTCAGATGAGTAAGAAGGCAGCCAAGAGGCACAGATGGGAATGTGGGCAAGAATGGAAATCCCAATCCTCCCCACATAATAAAAGAAATCAATTTAGTGCTCATTACGTAAGCTGGAGATCCACGGTAACTTCAGACAAACCACTTCCTCTCTCTGAACCTGTTTTCCCACTTGTAAATGAGGGGATGGACTAAACTCTGTGGCTGAATAACAAATACTTACATAGCAACTTATGTTCTAAGCTCTACCCAATTGAACTGTTATTAACTCATTTTACCTTGAAAGCAACAGGCAAAGCTTGTTTGGAATAGCCCTTGGCACCATTCCAAATGGGCTGGGCTCTCCCACACCACCTTATTCTTCTCAGCCAGAGCTGGAGTGCTGAAAATCTGATTAATGTGTTTAGCAACGACTGGATCTTTCTCTGGGCCTCTTGTGAAATATGCTTTCCGGTGTGGTAATCATCCTGCTTTGTGATTTGGAACAAAGTAAACTAGAGACTCAACAAGTTAGCTTCCTCTCCTTCTTTGAAACATAAAAGTGTTTGATCCTTTCTGTGATGTTTTTATTTTGATCTCAGAGAGAAGAAAAAGATAGCCTTGATAATTTCTGAGAAAATAAACTCAGTGGCTGAATTCGGCCAAACCATGAAATGGATTATCCCCTGGCCCAACAAGGGCCTCCCTGATGTGTGACTCCAAGCTATCCTTCACACAGCAATCTATATACATGACTTCCCAGCACTGGGCATCAGGAAATCCCATAGGCTCTTCCTTCAAAACATAGTTAGAATCCCTGCTCCATGGCACTGTCACTCTTGCCAGGATCACTGTAGCAATCTCCAAACTGACCCTTTTCTATTCCTGTCTTTCTACAGTCCATTCCCAGAGTGACCCTTGTTAAATGTACTTTAGATCATGTCACTGCTCTGTGTGAAATCCTGCAATGGCTCTCCACTTCCTTCAGAGCAAAATGTAACATCATTAAGATGCCTTTCAAGATCCTACATGAGCTGCACGCCCCCTCCCTGTTACCGTTGGGACTTCATCTCCTATACCTCTCCCCCTTGCTCATTCCTTAACAGCCGCACTGCCTCCTTGCTCTTCCTCAATTAAGCCTTAGAGACTTTGCTCAGCCTCTCCTTGGAAGGCTCTTCTCCCAGATATCCACTCGGCCCACTCCCCACATCCTTCAAATCTGACCTTCTCACAAGGCCTACCCTGACCACCCTATTTAAAATTGTGATCTGCCTCCCTTCCCTTGTTTCTTCCTTGACCTTCTAAAAGAAGGACCTGTTTGAAGATCAAAAAGAAAAAAAAATTTTGTTACCACCTTTCATCTGCCAGCAAGTTCCAGATATTTGAAGATAGTATTCATCCATCCAGCAAATACTTATTGAGTGCCTGCTCTGGGTCAGGCACTGAGTTAGGCAGGAATTCAATCTTCAATTCTATTTTATTCAATTCAACAAGCAATACACTAGTGTCTCCTAGAAACAAGTCTTGAGATTGGGTGGTGAATTGTGTAGAGATCGAGGTCCAGCCAAGTGTAGTGAAGGCAATAAACTCCGAACCAAGACTTGTGTTCAAACCCTAGCTTCACTTCTAACTTCCTCTGCGGCCTTGGGCAAGTCCCTTTCCTTTTCTGGACTTCAGTTCTCCAACTTTAAAATAAGTGGAGTGGGGCCAGCCCCGTGGCTTAGCGGTTAAGTGCGTGCGCTCTGCTGCTGGCGGCCCCGGGTTCGGATCCCGGGCGCGCATGGATGCACTGCTTCTCCGGCCATGCTGAGGCCGCGTCCCACATACAGCAACTAGAAGGATGTGCAACTATGACATACAACTATCTACTGGGGC